GGGGGGGGGGCGGGGGGGAGGAGCAAAAGGTATGTGCATGTAGTCCCACAAAAGGAGCAAAGGTGGCGACGGTCACAACGGCCACACGCGCGAGAGGGGCACTTACCTTGCCGTAAAGACCAGCCAAATTGAGGCCGAGGATTCGGACGTGCCCGGTGGAGACGTCATTGGCGTAGCTGGAGAGGCGAACGAATTCGACATGAATGCGGACCGGGTTCGGGCGGTCGACATTCAAGCGCATCAGGACGCTGATCATCTCCGAGAAAAAGAGGTAAGCTCCCTTGAGGACACAAAGGAGGGTGATCTCCGAGTGAGGAGTGCACTCCTCGAGGATGTTCCGCGCCAGACGGTCAATGCTGTCATCAGAACATGCGATGGGGGAGGGGAGAATGATGCATGTTAGAGCTGGCCATCATCAGGCGAGGTACACAGCCGGGCGGAACATGCGCTGGAGCGGGTGAGCACGCACCGGTCGCGGATCATGCCGTTTGGGATGAGAACCGACTCGAGGTCCGTCTCATAGTGCTTCGGGACCGAGAAGTGCCGTACCGGCATCGGGGTATGCCCAGTCACGTCGATGGCATCGATGTTCTCCATGGGTTATTCTCCTGGCGGCAGAGCGCGAGGAAGAGGTGCCGGGCCCGGAGGGAAGCGCAAGCATGAGTCAAACAGGCAACACACAAGAGGCAAGGCGGGCCGGCCAGGGGGAACAGGCTGTCGCCGGGCAACATACCGGCGTGCGATCGAAGAGGGCCGGCGGGGAGGGAGGAAAGCACCAGGGGGAGAGCGAGGGAGGGGGGGGGAGAGAGAGAGAGGGCGAGGGGGCGTCGAGCTCTCGTCGGGAGAGGGGGGGCAGCAGAGAGGGGGGAGCGAGGCCAACCGAGATCACAGATCTCAGATGCCCTCAGTCCCCCCCATATATGTGTGTCTACGCGTGAGAATCTGTGTCTGCGTGTGTCCCCCCGGTGGAGGTGCGCAGTGGGGACCCTGGAGTCGAGGGAGGCATCCCCAGTCGGGGAGGGCCTTGCGAGAGGAGGCCCGAGGACCGGCGCGGGCGAGTTTGCACACGCGTGCTTCCCGGCACGGAGCGTATACGCACCCGCACGTCCCCCACCCCGGGCACCCCCACACGCCCCCGGCGAGCATCGGCCCGACCTGGCTCGACGGAATTGTCCAGCGCGGGTCCTCGGCCAAAATATACCCGAGATACAGGCCCCCGTGCGTCGGAGCCTCCGGCGGAGGGGGGCGCGCAACGGGGCGGGGGGGGG